CGGATGCAAAGTGTATCCTCTTTCGTTCATCGGCAAACGTGTCGCCGTGCACAAAACCAACCCTCGATGTGCAGTACGTATTGCAAGAACGTTCGTGGTGAGAAAAAAAAAGAAGCGCCAGGTTTTCCCGGCAAAAGAAGACCCCTATGCTATTAACATCAAAAACGAGCGTGTGGAAAACGCAGCCTCACAGAGGCTCGGCCACGACAAACGCAGGAAAAGCGGAAATTCCTTGCAGAAAGTGCGAACGACGCCGTTTAACGCGCTGGGTACTCCATATTTATACCATTACGATCGCAAAACTCACGTAAACGCGCGTACACGCTTTCAGTGTCGCGCGCAGACGAACGCGTACGTCGTGCTCTTAATTCGCGCACAGTCGAACGGATCGCGGAGGGGGTTGAAAGGCGCGGGTATCGCAACATCGTTTCCCTACTACTAATTGCTAAATGCTAATGTACGCATACGCTTTGGCGACGCCTACTTTCGCGACAGACCGTGGATATTATTCGCGGCTGACTTCACCGATCGCGGGCGGAGGAATCGTCGCGGATGGCTCGTCATCCACTTTCCTCGATGCCGGTGTCGCGCGTCCTGGGACCAGCCGATTGGAATTTGCATTTTACCATCCCCGCCGTCGTCGAGGATTAATCATTCCGGATCGCTACTTGCTGATTTATGAAAATGGAGAACGTAGAGCCGCGCCCGCGAATGAGATTCGACGGCAACGCTTCCTGTCGCTTCATTTTTTTTCTCTCTCTTTTTCGCTTTTTTCTGGCGCAATGATAACACGGTCGGAGGGATGTTTATCGTGATATCGAGCTTGAATACTGCTGGGTTAGTCGCGGACAGACCCTTTGTGGACGGCGCTTTGTATGACGTGGATAGATGTACATCCGGGGGTGAGTTTTGATAGATGAACATATGCTGTGATAAAAATTTCAGGCAACCTGTTCCGCTCTTATAATTGCTGTGATGTATTGGTTGTTTGACTGGTTAATAGGAGGGTTGTATTGTTGGTTGAAATTATGAGGACGTTTGGATTTATTTTCGTGGATTTTGTATTTCAGTGAATTTTCTGTTTGAAAGAAAAAAATAACAAATAATTTATTCCTGGTGAAGCAATATATTTTATAAATTAATCCAGTTCAATGAAATTTTTCTATATAATTATTATCATAATATTGAAATAACTGATCAGTTTAATATGCGAAACGCACACCCTATGTTTACAAAAAAGTAATGACATACAGTGTCCCCGTTTCCACCTGCTTGTACTTTCATTAAAAAACCATCGTAAATTCCATAACCACATTTATCAGCCACGATGATCAGTTAATGCCCATAATAAGAGCATCGCTTAATTGAAAACCTATAAGAACTCCATGTTTCGCGACGAAAAATGAGCAAGAGCCAATCGTACCATCGCTCAACTTCCGTTCGCCAAGAGGCGTGTTGCGTTATCATAAATTTTTGAAAGGAAAACAGGCCATTAGCCCGCGCAAGATAATCTCGAAACCCGCTGAATTTCCCCCCCACGTATCTCGAATCTCATCGTCCTGGGTAACAACCGCGCCCTGAGACGAGCCTGAGATTTCGAAAAGGATTAAACCGACTTGACCCGACGACCTTTTTATCGTTCTAATGTTTCCTGCGAGGAACGGTGAGGAGAACTATCTTAGATACCAGCGACGATGACCTGCGAACCGACCCCTCGTGCCAGAATTGCTTACTTATTATCACGGCCAATTACCGGATCGCGAGTTAATTAACGAGCTCCACATACATGGCTGTCGGGTATACGTAGACGATGAAGTTCTTTCCGAAAATCGTCACGATTCCTACAGGTGTTTCCTTCGTTAGTTAGGGTCTATTTTTATCGCATGTTATAATTTTATTGGCGCCTTTCATGGGTATTTAACGAGATAATTAAGTTATTTTATGGATACAAAGGGGAGTTTAGTCTGAAATTATACACCTTATGCATCTTACGTTACTATTCAATGCAAGTGACGATGCATCTTATGCATTTTACGCTATGCATTCATTGCAATTAATGACGCCCCTTATGTGTCTTACAATATTTATCCGATTTAATTGACAACTCACCATCTGCGTCTTTGATTACCAAGTGCAATCGACGGTGCATCTTATGCATCTGACGGTGCATCCTATGCATCCGACGTTACATTCTATGGTATTTGAAGCAATCAATGACACACCGTATGCGTCTTACCTTGTTTATCCAGTATAATTGATGACGTATGCGAGCTACACCCTCGGTTCAGTCAGTAATCACAATGTGCATTCAGGATACAATTATATGCGTTGCATTGATTCAACCACAGCGATGTATGTAATTACACGTGAAGGCCGTGATGAACACATTGAAGACAAGATCGTACCGTGATATACCAGGAATCGTGTGAATTAACATCGAGCACGAGTGATTTGGAGCGTGTTACCGGTCACCGCACACGAATTCCATTATAAATAGAACGCTAGCTGAGAATTCGTATCTGGATCGTGTCGCTTGCGGATCAGTTTCGTTTTTCAAACAAACCAGTCACCCGACGTTTTAATCCTTTTTCGGATTTCCAAATTTAGTTCCATAGATGGTTTTCTTGGTACGCTCGTTTAATCAAATTGGTAAATGCAAATTAATTTTAAAAAATTGACAAAATAATACTTATATTCACACATAATTATATCGAGATGTATTAAAATATGCTTGATTGAAAATTTCGAGGGGACACCGCGGCCCCCATAATCCGAGAAAGGGTTAACCAGGATACAGAAGCCCGTCGTCGATTTCCTCGTGCAGGGGAGGCCGAGTGGTGCCATTAACACCAATTGTGGTTTCATTAATTTTCATCGGCACTTTGGTGCGTTAACGACGAACGAAGGTGACGGCCGGGAATCTCGAATTGGGAACCCGTTCCAGGCCCGCGTTCCATGGATTGGGTCCAGCTCTTGGCCGCAAGGCCGGTTGCTTGAATGTATGGATGGCTTTTTTGCTCTGGGTGTCGTCGATGGTGGCGGATTGATGCATTGGGTGCCGGCCGAGAGCTGGTTAGACATCGAATTTGCACTCGGGGAATTTTTTAATGAGGATGATTGTGTAATTAAAATTGAGGGGGATATTTTTGCTGAAGATGAGGATAAGATGTTGAGGTATAAAAAAATATTATGCGTTGTTTTCGCATCTTTATTTTGCGTGTCTTTAATCAATTACTAATAGAACCTTTTTAAAAAACAGTATTTTTAAAATTACAATTAATATCCAGATTGAATTGATATCAATTAAATCAGTAAAAGAAATTCAATTAGCTTTAATTTTATAAAAAAAGTATAAAATTGAATTAAAAAACAAGCTAAACATGGAATTTATCAAATCCAGGTAACTAGTATAGTTTGGATCAATTGAATCTACTGAAAAGGAAGAAACTGATAATAATCCAAGTTAATGTTCCATATAAAATCCTCTAAAAACGCGTCAGAAAGTCACTCCAATATAAATCATCATGACCCATAATAATTCACGATGATATCACAGCTGCAACACGATTCAGAATCCCATAACACCGGATCCCCATAACATAGTAGCTTAAAACATGAAACTCCGTTACATTAGACCCCCGTTACTCGCGTCTCCAGCAGCCTTGAAGCATCATCCATCTAATCCCCGCAACGGTCCACGGAACCATCATCAATCATCCGAATTCATCCGTACCGGCGACAATTAAGCCTTCTCTCGGTTCTCTCCCATCCGAACTTCCTCCGTCGGCAGAATGATCCGCGCCACGGGAGCATTTCCGATACCGATACTTTTTCTTTTTCATATTTCCAAATTTTATTAACGCTGATTTGTAACGTTTATTGCACCTTGAAAATTTTATTTCCAAGTTCATTTGACTTTGAGATTGATTTCTACATTTTTAACTCTTAAACAGCGGGGCCTGGGTCAATCTTGACCCAAACTTACAAAACGTATACAAGGGTACTAACTTTTTAAATATTATAATTCTCAAACAATAGAGTTTATGCAAAATGTAGAAAATGAAAACAAAATTGAATTAAATATGGGGCTCTCTTCGTGGTCCGCCATCCGAGGGTTAAAGCACAACTTAGCACAAACAGAGAACACCCTTATTCTCGTCGTTGGTTCATCTTATAAAGCTAAAAAATTCCTTAAAATCGACAATAAGAAGTAGATGAAGATGAAATTTCAGGGTGTCGAAGGAACGATGGTTGATCCTGAGGAATCGTGTCAAAGCGAGTGGTTTGGTCTCGTTATGTCTGCCCGGGGGCGTTGGCTGCGCGCGGGCTCAAAGACGACGTAATTGCATCTCCTGCGCAATATACGCTACTTAGGTATCTCTTAATTAATTCGCGCCTCGCCCCGCCCGGTAATTATTTTCATATCGCCAGACACGTACCCCCGTGACCCTCCTCTTGGTGGCTGAGTCGACGTCGCCTCGACGGCGACGACGACGAGGTGGAGGACGAGGTCGAAAGCAGAGTCGAGCAGAGCCACGGGACACGCATAAGAATATCGAGCATTTCCGAGTTCAACCGGCGTATCGTTACTCTTTTTCCTCCCTTTTTTTTTATTCGTAATTAATTACGCGGCAACCAGATACACCGGTTCCCGCGATCGCGGAAAAACGAACGCCTTTTATCATTCGAGGTACGGTTATAATTTACCAGCTTCGATTCTTGTATCTTTTGGCGCCGCTAATCGGATGGTTATTATTAGAGCCACGTTGATTTCGTTCGCGAACGATCGTGTCCGTTTTTAGAGCATCGACTCGTGCTCGCGGTCAGCTACAGTCCAGGGACGAATAATGTGAATCGTAATGCTCTTTTGTATTGCGAGTATATGGACGGGTTCTTTATAGGCTACTAAAAGGAGACATGTCTCTGTTTTGATTGCAATTGGGAAGACATGTTCGAGGAAAAGGATGAATGGTAAAGAGGATTATAATTTCAAGACCTTATTTCTTTTTAATTAATAAATCTTTTATTATCTTACACAAAGAAGTATTAGGATACAGTAATTAAAAAGTTTGTAACCCTGCAGGGGTGATTTCTTGAAAGGTATTTTCGCCTGTTGCTTGATTATTAAACATCCTTTATTTTGTATTTTTTATTTTCAAGTTAAAACTATAGGTAAAGCTTAACACATTCTATGTCACATGATTCATTAATAATTCACGTTTATCGAAGATAATTAATATGGTACAATCGCAATGTCTTATAATTAATTTTTTTTTAACAGGGTAAAAGGATAAATATTAATTAAAAAGGAACAAACTCTAGTACATTACATAAGAATCTAATTGGAAACTGTACAATTCAAAATATAGGAATGACTATTGTTCTATCTTACACTAATATTTTTTTAATTTACTTTAATTTGAAATATGACCTACACAAGTGGATAAACTTACATATGTATATATATATAAGCATAATTCACGCCAAAAGACCTTGAAACATCACAGAAGAATTTCCTAAGGCAACTGCTCGTAACATTTCATACAGTTCACCCTTAGCTCGCAGCATTGGGTGCCATCTGTGATCTTTGCCGTAAGACAACTTGCTTCGTGTATGCAATCTTTCTCCCTATTTTTATTCAAGAACAATACAAAAAAAAAATAATCCACTACCGAGGAAAAAAATGAATTCTCTTCATACAAAATTTAATTTTCTTAAAAATTATTTTTCTAACATATTGCAAGCCTAAATTTAAACATTAATCGTCTACGAACATTCATTTTCATTATGACAGTCGAGTGTTAATAATAACGAAAAAAAAGAAACAAATATTCTAAAGCATATATTCTATCTTTAATTATTATTTATGGAATACAAGATATCTTTCGGATCAATTTCACATTAACATATTAAGCATACATCTTGAAGCTAAAACCGCCTCGGTAATTTAAAGATCACTCTACTAGTATCACAATTAATCGAATTCACGTCACAATCAGTTGGCCACACCTTGGACTACCCACGATAAAGTTTGTCGTCGCGTGTGCACCGTAATATTTACGTTTCAATTACGCTAATGCCGTTTGAAGGGGTGGTGGCGATCGAACGAACGGTTCGATCGCGAGACGACCAGGCGGAGAAACGCGGACGCGTACGTTTTCCGGGAGCAACGTACCAAAATTCGTTCCTGGCTGATCGACGTTCGCGTGTAAATTGTTCCTGAAATACACGACACACAAGTTCAGATACAAATAAAACATCGGTGTTGGTAGCCGCGCTCGATCGTCGTTACCTTTCTGTCCGCTTCAATGATTCATCCTCTGGGGCGCAATGAAATAAAATAATCCGTGAATTATTCCATGGAGCGTAGTTTGTGCAGCAGCTACATAATGCGAGGACCAACGTGAAGGGACAAAAGAATCGCTATAATGGCCCTTGCCATGGCTCGTTTCCAACAAATGGAAGGAAGACACTAAACGGTGCATCGTTCGATACAAAACTCGATTATCCAGTTTGATTTTCGTGTCGAATCATTTGTCGATTGCAAGTATTCGTAGAGAAAAATTCATCTGGCTTCTTAAATAATATTTTGGTAGTTATAGTAGAAGGCAATCTTCGATTAAGTTCATTACTAGCATCAAGTCCTGTTTAGCATGGGTCTATCATGGGTCTGTTTTCTACGATAATTCGTTAAAAAATCAATCTACTATTTTAAGAAATATTTAGACAGCCGTAACGTAGTATAAATCTTTCATATTTTGAAAATGTCGTCGTCCAAGAACATTTCATTTATTCCACCTATAGTAACCATATATTTAATTTCTTTTCAGATGTAGCAGAAAAAGCGGATCCTAATTAGCAACATCCATTTTCCATTCTTCAGTTTCCATCCGCTCAGAGCTAACCCGCAGAAACCGTTATCAAACCAGAACACGATGTACGTATATCCAACATCCAATCGTCACTATTCAACATTTACATAAATTCTGGTGCAATACCAAAATCAAACAGGATCGTTCAGTTGCTAGCGGATCTGCTGCCGCTTTCAAGCGAGCCACGTCTAGCATTCTCACCCCTCATGATCGCTCCCTGGGCGATACCGTAATGTTCGAACGGATCTTTCCCATAAAACACCGTCTCCTCGGCTCGTTGATTCATCTTATGCCTCGGCGGCGTGGACGTTCTTACGGGAGTGGTCGTGGGGCTGTTCTTCGGTGTGGACATCTTGCTGTGGTTGGAATTCGGACTGTTCCTTGACGAGGGGGGCAAATTCGAAGTCGAATTTACTGGAGTACCAGAGTCGTTGGCGGCCGCGTTGATGCCCTGCAACGCGTTGAAGCTCTGCATCACGAGATGAGAGGCGACCGACATCGTCAGCGGATTTGTGGCCGCCAAGGGAACTAGCCCGGTCGCGGATTTCTCGTTCCTGGCCAGCTGCAAAGCGTTACTCGATTGATTCTCCACTCGAGCCGTCGCCGGCAGCATTACCGTGGATTGATTTTCTACTCGAGACATTGATTGCGCCGCGGATCGATTCTCCGGCTGTGGGGTCGACCTTTCGCCCCGAGCCATCGTCGTTGCCGTCGACGATTGCCCGTTCGATTGGTTCGCCATCGCGGTTGACCTGTCGGTCGATCGATGGATCGTCGGGGTCGATCTTTCCGTCTGCCCGGTGGCCAGTACCGTGGTCGACTGGCTCCTCTTGGCGGACTCGGCTCGACTTCCGTTCAGCACGGGCGACGTCGGCGCCGGAAACGGGGCAGTTTGCGAGCGATGCTTTCTAGCCGGTATCTGCGGGCTCCTCGGCAAACTTCGATCACCTCCGCCCGTTGCCGCGTTCGAACTTTGATCTTGAACGTCCAGAGAGTTGGCGAGTTCGGGAACAGTTTCCTGGATGGGTAAGTTGGACTTGAACCCGCTCGTGGCTAACGATTCGTCTCGAGAGACGTTCAAACTCTTCGAATTATTCAGCTGCCCGTTAGCGTTCCCGACGGACCTCGTTTCCTCCGAGTTGGAATCGATTTTCAAGGGTAACCTGGCGGAGACCGGGTTACCATTGGTACCGTTCTTCAGCACCGCTAGATTAGGGTCACCGTTGGGGAAACTGGCGAATCTTGCGATCGTCTGTCGTTCCTCGGCTACCTGAGGGGCGAACGGAATTTTCCTCTCGGTTGGTTTGACGGATTGTCTCTTCCTAGCTGTCGATGCGTTCGTTCTGTGCCTGTGTCTTTTCGATTCGTTTTTCGCGATCGGACGAGTCTCCGGGAAGTGTCTTCCCTTCATGGAACTCGGTTCCTCGTCCTCGTCCTCGTAGAACCGGATGTCCTCGTTCAAATCCGACTCGTCCTCTTCGTACTCCTCGACTATCGCGCTCGCTTGGATCCATTCCCTGATACGGTCCTTCTTCTTCGCCCTGTCAACCGTGGTTTCGATACCGTACGTGGTCAGAGTGTGAAGGAGCTGGTTCTTCTCCTCCAAGGAACTGTGGAAGCTGTACATCGATGGGCACAACTCGTCCCTCTCGTCGGCGCCACCTGTGCAAACGTTTCAGTTCAATCAAGCGGATACGAGAGCCAGCTAAGTCTTTAATTTCGTTCGATTGTTACCGTTCATCGCCTTCTCCACACCCAGTTTCGCTAACCACCTGTCCTCCAGGTATTTGTTTACCTCCAGCACGCTGACGGGCCTCTTCTCCGCCTTTGGATCCAGTAGACGCTTGAACATCCTGAAGAACGTTCAAGGGGCTCGGTAAAAATCCTTGGAATTAATTTTAGGATAATGGGACGATGCTGGGAGGTCTACAGTTGTTGGAGATTTATTAAGGTAACATGGTGAGTTCGTTAAATTGAGCCATTTTATATGGTAATTCATCAATTTTGCGATGTTCTTTGTTTAAAATTAATTGCTTTTACCGTCAGTGTGATATATGTAAAATCCAGAATTTTTCTCTCGATACATTTAATAATCCCGTTTAGTCAGGGACAATAAACGACGTTCATGGAGGGTGACGCGATTGTAATGATTCACGCGGTTGTTTCAAAAACAAACTGAAACCAAAATGGAAACATTTCTTGGTACTGCTTTGTGCACTCCCTCGGAATGTAGTCTATAATTCTCTCTGAACCCTTCTGCTTGTTTTGACACGTAAACTCAATGCTGAAAAAGTCTCTCCTTTTATTAGCTCTCTGTGAATCAGTATGCTTTAAATCTTTCACGGTGACTTTATAAAATATACTTTTTAAAAAAAAAATAAATCAAGATCCTATAATTTATTTAGGTGTGTTTTAATTTTCTAATTCTTGGTTTTTATAACTTTACTTTGATCTAATCCTAGGTTCCCAATTAGCTATGGAACGTATGTCCAAGTTTGAAATATTAAAGCGTAAAGAATCGCGTCGTTTCTTTATCTAATCGTTCTGTATTGTTTCAGGAGCAATTAAGAAGCGGCGGATGAATGCAATCTGGTGCAGGCTGGCGCTTGGTACGCGTCACCCATACAGAAACTGACCTCTGCGCCCGTGAGCTGATCAGCTGAAATAATTTCGGTTTCTTGGCTATGTTCAACGTCGCGTTGTGCCAGTTTTGATATCTGGTGTAACGCGGGTCGTCCAACGCCGCCTTCTGCCACGGCAAGCATCCGGTCAGACAGACAAATAGGACAATGCCGAATTGCCAGACATCGTGCGACGTGAGAGCTCTGAAAAACGTGAAAGACTAAATAACCGCTTATACTTTTATCATTCATGATCATGCAAGCCACGATTTGCGGAAGTTATTCCAACTTCGATTATAAATGCTTTCGTCAGCAAAAGAAATATCTATTTTAATTTAACAATTTCAATATTTTGCTACTTTAATAGAGTTCTCCTATAAGCTGTAATTATAGTTTTGAACTAATGTTATCCACTCGGTTAAGAGTCTTAAAATTCCACCTCTTAATTAGGGGAAGGTAATTGCTGGTAATGGTCAATCGAATAATTACTTGTACGTCTCGTCAGTGTCGATCTGCAATACCTCAGGCGGCGAGTACGGCAGCCACTCGTTGTGCCTTCGCACCACAGTGTTAACCCGCCTGGTCTCGCCAAAATCACACAGTTTGATCCTCGAGAAATCGCTCTTGAACACGAGGATGTTGTCGAGCTTGATGTCACGATGCACCAATTCGCGGCTGTGGATGTGATGCACCGCTGCAGCCAGTTGTCGGGCCACCCTCTTCGCGTGCAGCTCGCCTAAACCCGTCTCTGTCACGTTGGACGTTAAATCTCCTGGAAATTGAACCGCGAAATTTGTAATAAAAAGGGAACGAAAGGGTTCCAATGTCCCTAGAAGATTATTACCGTCTCGTTGAATAGTCATTCAAGGTTTAATTTCTTAATCACACATTTCTAGTGAAAAGGAAAAGGAAAATTCAAGATCAGTTTTGAATTTCTCACCAAGGGGAGCGTATTCTTGACTGAAAACGTAGAATCCAGCGGTCTCGAAGGCCACGTCGTAGGTGGTGATGATGTTCCTGTGGGCCGCCAGGTGTAACCCGTAATGGAATTCCCGAAAGAAGTCCGATATCCCGGTGTACGCCTTCGGTAGCGCCTTCAGCACCATCTCCGTCTGGGTGCTTCGATGTTCGGTAAGCAAAATCTTGCCGAACCATCCCTCTCCGACGATTTGCAGGATATCGAACTCGTCGATCAGATTCACCTGTTCGAAAAGAGGTAAGAGAGCACGTTTCAGCTGTTGTCCTGGGTACAGGATCGTTAGTCGTGGTGCGACGTATCGAACAGCTGCGCCCTCGATTTTTCACCGTGAATCGTGGATGAAAGCAAAACCGCGAACAAGACGGTAGTCCATTCTTCTATTTTTAATTCGACGCACGACCCGTTTTGTGTGTCGGACACGTTTCGATCGACGGATAACGCGGTTCCGAATGATTTCATCGAGGGTGGGTGAAAACGAAACTGCGGAAGATTTGTTTTCTTTATTTTTTTACGCAATAACCAGAAGCCCGTCGAAGTTCGTGGATCCGATGTATAATTTAGCGTGGTGCGTTAAAAATGTGTTCCGTGACTTTTTATCCAAAGTAAAATCAACGACGCAGCAAGAATTTCTAATTTTAATTAGCCAGAGGACTTCTGCTGCATCTTTGGTGAATAGTAAGTAACCCTTTCGTTATAATTCAATGACAATTTTCATTCGTTTCAGTTTATATCACAAAATCAATATTTTCGTATATAATTTCAAGTGACAAATTTAAAGGTGAAAAAATAATGAAACTACTCCATTCATTATTTCGTGTACAACTTATCGGCGTCGAGTGCCATGTTCAAAAGCTATTTCATAATATTCTGTGAAACATGGCCCATTTTCAGTTCGTCTGCCAACTAAACAATTCATTTCAATTCATAACATAAAATAACATTTCAAGTACCACGCTAAAAGTTAATATATTTAATTAAAATGTATCACGCGTTCAGGGAATTGGAAACTCGTTTCGAATAAATATGTACCAGTTGCTCGTATTTCCAATTTCTTTCAGCAGCAAAAAATTAGAGAGGAGAATATCACGTTTTCAGATGAAAAATAATGGAAATATTCGTGCCATATGTTTTATTACACGAACAGTCGCGAACGACTGGTCGTCGAGCAATTAACCGAAGTGTTAAAGGTTACAATTGGTTCCTGTATTGTCATAAAGTGAGCATCGAGGGAAAGTTGGTTTACTGCCAGAGAGAAGGAGATTGCCCGTTCCTTGATTCTGAGGTAAATGTTGCACACACGTCCACTATTTCTGGATCCTCGACGACTCGCGACTGGAAACTCGGTCGCGTGTTACCGATCTGTCGAGAATTCGATTCGTCACGAACAGTAGCTCAAAGGTTCGTTCTATTACAGTACTCTGTTCATTTATTTGAAGATGCTTTTTCGTAGGGACTTCTGTCTGGGATTCGTTGTCCGACACACTTTCAGCGAAGATTTACATAGATCTCTGGGCGTGACTGACAGTGAGTTAACGAGGCACGATCTTAAGTTTATGAAATTCAGCGTGTAATATTATTATATATTTATCAATTTGAAATTAACATTTAAAAAAAATTAAATTTGAAACTTAAGAATGGACACTTAATAATGTAAAAAATTTTAATTGATCAAAAGTAGATTTATACTTTCTTTAATTGCAAGGAAATACATATTCCTAGGAATTAGAAACTCTGTAAATATTTTATAATTTTCCAAATTTATAAAATTGTAATAAAATGTAACAATTTCAAACCAAGGTATAATTAATAGAAGATAGTAACGTTGAAGCTAGCAAGGGTAGAAATTATCATCCCTTTAATTTCTTATTTACTTCGTCTACCCAAAAATGCATCTACCCATTCAATTCTTGATTCATCATCATTAACGGAAGCAATCAGAGACTTCTACCAAAAGAATCGATAATCGTTTTACTCTAAATTTTGCATTCGATACATTTGTCTCTTCCTTAATTGGGTCAACAGTTTCATTCTATCAGACAGATTGGAAAATCGTATTAACAGAGGATCGTTCAATTCAGAGGATCCGTTCAACGACACGAGTCAGGATATATTTACAAATTTATGCGCTCGACACAGGGCCGGATCTTAGTTGTTTCCAGTTCTTCAAACATTTCGGTCGAGGTTTGTGTGCTTCGAGCACGTGAATTTGTAAGCATTTACTGTCTCGTCTTGTTGGATGGAGTATAGTTCTGTCACGTCAGAGATTCGATTCGGCAATCGAATTACCTTCTCGAGCTCGAATTCGCGTATCCTGTGAATGGAGCCGCCGATCGCCTTCTTCATTAAGCTCATTCTGACAGACGGTAGTCAATCGTGTGCCACGGGCTCGTGCGGAAGCCAAAAGTCGAAAATGAGCTTAACAATCCGTTTTGATTAACGCAGAGATATTCAGATTTTGTCATTTCGTGGTGAACGATGATCATTGGACTTCCGCTAGCTCGTTGTGATCAGCCATTCGATCTTGCGAAAAAGTCGATGAACCCTGAATCTGAAAAGACCAAGTGCACAACAACAAAAATTAGAATGTTAGAGAAGATTCTGCCGAGAATTACTGCATTCGCGAAAGTGCTTGCCCCATAGCGAGAGGGTTAAACTTTGGAACCACTTAAACTTTGATCACGTTCGCTTTGTTCCACAAAGCAGAAGCGTGAGTTTTAGATAATGTTCCCTTTGTGCCATCGTAAAGTAACTACGCGATTTTCACGGTATTACAAAGCTTAGAAACAGAAAGAAAAATATAGGTTTCGTGATAGTTCGCCTTGATGAGATATTATCTTTTAATTACAAGAGGATGAAGGGGTGTTGCTAAGTTGAAGATGTGTAGGTCTATGAAAAATATGTTATGATTAAATATTAATTTTTTAATTATAAAAGAGATAGTTGAATTAACAATGATAAATTTGGAATATGAAAATTTATGGAAAATATATATATATATTATGCTTGGTATTGTAATTATTTTTAGGTATTTTATTTGGAAATAAATTGTATTTGAAAATTAATTTAGCGGAATTTTTTGAACAAAGTATATGAAGTTTCTTTGGTGCCTTGAAAAAGAACGTTGTTTCAACGGAGTGCACGTGTCGAATACGAAAATAGCATTACGAATTCCGAGCTATAATTCATAGTTCTGTATTATTGGTTCGAATAAGTAGCTCGTGTGTAATTTCGCGGCAAAAGATTGTATTTTCTCTCTATCGAGTGCTTTTGCATCGTATTTTCGAATTGCGATAATTGTTGCGCAAGTTGGACAACGAAACGCCGCAAAACTCGGCCGGCATTACACGAACCAACCTCTCCATTAGCCAAATTCCATTTACTATATCGCACGCATATAATATCGAGATATAAATTTCCTTTCTCTAACATATGCTTCTATTTCTTACATCTTCAAACGTTTGAAAAATCTAATAATTTTCATTAATATTTGCATATAAATATGAATTCTTATGTCTTCTGTTCTGTAGCTATTTTTATGAAATTTAGATTTTCTACCACATTCGTTATAGTATTATATATTTAGATTATAAATTTATATTATATCGAAAAACTATAATAATACAAATTTTCTATAGAAATCCACGTTTTTGACAATATTATTAAAAAATATCTAGAATATAAATAAAAATAGGGCGATTAAAAAATCAACAAAGCCAAGCCACAATTCAACAACACTTATTTTCTCAATAATTAAAAAATTTGAACACGTACATAATCGTACCAAAAAATAAAACTCGACAAAACGATGTTCTCGTTGGGGAACAGTTGCAGCTTATAGTAGGATCACTCTATCATTTCTTATCAAACTTCCCCGAAACACGGGTTTCTTATCACTTTTCTCGAATACTATTCACCAAGAGTGTTCTTTCCCAACTTTCGTTCACCCACTCACACACACACACACACACACACACACACACACGTGTACACACTGTACACTTTGGCACTTCGTTCCAAGAATTCGCTCACGAATCCGAGACACAATTAATCCATGAAAATGTCACCACTACCACCGCTAGCCAAACACCTTTTCTTCAACTTCACGATATAATAATTTTATAACGTTATACGAAACTTTGAGGGTTTTCTTTTTTATTCTATCGGGGTTAGATCAGATCGCGCAACAGGCAACAACTTTGTCCGTTGGGATTCGTGATTTTACAGCAACTACCGTGTTCGCTGCACTCTTCGACTGTCTGCAGTATTTATAAAACACCGACCGGAAAGCGCGACTGGCGAGCTGATTTTGGCGCCGAGCCGGCTTGGCCGCGCGCTGACGCCTCGACGCCGACGATGTATTCGTCGACGACGAGGAACCCAACGGACTCTAGAATTCCATAAAAATCAAGGATAATCGCGCGAGTAGGTCGGTGTCCGTCACGAGACGTCGAGGTACCACATGGAACCACGTGGCAAACGCTGGTTAAATGTGTCATCTTCGTCCCAGGCAATTGATGCGTCGGCGTCGCGACGCTACCAGCCTTTTACATGCTCATGGGATCGATAAGTAATTTATTTTCACACGTGTGGAAAAATATCAGACATGATTTAAGTTAGACGTTTATGGTAGCGAAATTATGTTCACGTGGGTGCTTTGGAAGAATATTCTTTTATATGTGGGTGTTTGCAGAAATATTTAGACTGGCTGCGTGATATTCGGGGAATTTTACTAATTCACTTTTAAAGAATTTATATATTCATATGATTTGTCATTGAATAAGAATATTTTTCTTAATTAGGTGAAAAGTATTTTGATGTTAATCGTGGTTCTGTTTATCTATATGTAATGTAAGGTGCAGGTTTGAAAATGAAATAGTCAAAACACGTTTTCTCTTTCTTATATAAAGTATATTTTCATAAAATTATAATTATTAAATACAGAGATATAATTTTTGTTCTGTCAATTTAAAGTTCCGCTTATAAATGGAAATCAAATATACAATTGTTATTTGTTATACATAAAGGTAATAAATTTAAACTGTTCTTATATGTTAAGGACATCTATTGATGACTTATTGCACCACAGACGCCGTCTGTGATAGAACCACTGAAGATATATGAGATAGATCATCAGCCTTGTTGTAGTTCGTGTTTCAGAATCTCCAATACCGACGTCGCTGAAACTCGCATTCGCGCAATAACTACAGATCCAACAAGCAGTAAGTACAGATTGTAGAAGACTGGACATGCCGCTGTTCTCAAAGGGTCTCCATTATCCTAGTATAAAAATCAGAAATACTTTGTACTGCAACAGTCTATCAACCGTACTGCAGCACCGTTATCAACTGTTCAACGTAGAGCGAAGTGAAACACATCAGTATTATAGCGACCGCCGAAGGGTGCAGATCTACCTGCTAAACATACATATACCCTTATTTTAGTTTCTGCATTCATTTAATTTGCTGTGTTTATTTTTTTAGCTTATTGAATAAACTCATTAGGAGGACGAACGTTTTGATTTTATTACTCCCGTGTGCATCCTTTACATCTCTGCACCCCTTACAAACCCGCATTATTTACATCCCAGCATTCCTTACATCACTGCATCCTTTACATCCATTTTTTTTTTTTTTTTTTTTTTTTTTTACGTGGTGGAAATCTTCAGAAAGACACCTCCAGCCCTTCTGGGGAGGGGCCGGAGGTAGTGTGGGATTTTTACCCACTAAAACCACCACGGTGGCCTGCACTGGGGCTATAGGGAGGGCCTCGGAACGTCTGACGAACACACCGAGGCCCCTCCACTCCTGGTGGCCCGATCTCGGGGTAGGGTCTGATCTTTCATACTCTACTCCCCCATGTGCCAAACTCCGCCGACATCGGGGGCCACACCCGATGCCGGCACTCCTCGGGCCGCGTGCAGTGAAGACCGGGGCCCCAGCCTCGGACCCACGCGGTATTCCTTTACATCCCTCGTTCCGTTACATCTCTGCATCCCTTACATACCTACATTCTTTTCATCCCTACATTCCTTTCATCCTTACATTATTTTCATCCCTGCATTCCTTACATCTCTTCATCCCTTAAATCCCTACATTCTTATCATCCCTACACTCTTTTCATTCCCACAATCCTTACATCCCTACATTCTTTTCATTCCTACATTCCTTTCATCCCTACACTCTTTTTATCCCTACATTCCTTATATCCCTGCATCCCTTACAATAAATATATTATAAAGACTGCTTCGAGTAAAGGTAAGTAAAGGTAAGTAAAGGTAAGTTAGTTCCTTTTTTCGCCACCAGATGGCGCTGATTCGACATAGAAATTTTAGTTCGCATTTTTGCCGATAGAGGGCCAAAAATTGAGCAAGGTTTGGTTCCTTTTTTCGCCACCAGATGGCGCTGATTCGACGTCGAGATTTTAGTTCGCATTTTTGCCGCTAGAGGGCCAAAAATTGAGCAATGTTTAGTTCCTTTTTTCGCCACCAGATGGCGCTGATCCGACATCGAGATTTTAGTTCGCATTTTTTCCGCTAGAGGGCTAAAAATTGAGCAAGGTTTAGTTCCCTTTTTCGCCACCAGAGGGCGCTGATTCGGCATCGAAGTTTTAGTTTGCATTTTTGCCGCTAGGGGGCGCTATTTTTTGAGAATTTCGTTAAAATTTCGAAAACACAATGCCCTTAGCGACAAAAATTATAATGGATGTAAGAGATGCAAAGATGTAAGGGATGCAGGGTTGTAAGGAATGCAGGGATGTAAGGAATTTAGGGATGTAAGGAATGCAGGGATGTAAGGAATGCAGGGATGTAAGAAATGCAGGGATGTAAGGAATGCAGGGATGTAAGAAATGCAGGGATGTAAGGAATGCAGGGATGTAAGGAATGCATGGATGTAAGGGATGCGTGGCTATAAGGAATGCAGCGATATACGAGATTCAGGAATATAAGGGATGGAGGGAAGTTAGAGATACAAAGAATACGGAGATACTGAAACGGAATTAGTAGTATATCTATGTTTGGCAGATTGGTCCACATTCCTCGGCGGTCGCTATAAGACTGAGGAGGTCAGACCTCGCTCTGTCATATTTCTTCATCTGGAGGAGTAATTATTATGTTTTAATTTAAGTTTGATTTTCGTATATACTATGTTTATAATTTATTAAAGATCAAACAGCTATTGAATGCTGTATAGATATAATACAAATGAGGAAGTAACAACAGTGAATAAATAAAAGAAATTTGGATTGAATAAAATTGAATAAGATAAAAGAAAATACGTGCATTAAATAATTAATTCCGACATGAAATTGGATAAATTAAATAATAACTCAGTTGTTCTTTTAAAATGATTTATTTACCAAGGCGCATGAAGTGAGTACAAGTTTTTCAAACAATTATAATAATAATTTTTCAATCTTATCTTGCTTTTGACTGATTTCAATAAAAAAAGAAAATAGAAGCAAAGGGAGTGAAAATTGTGTGTTTTCAGTTGTCAGTCCGAGATGCGGTAAAAGAGGGGCTGGTCAAACAGGCACAATTATTATACTAGCTGTGCTCTCTGCATGCAGGCCTAATCTCATCTGGGTGTGTCTGAAACCCCTAACCTGGTTTCACCTCGAAAACAAAGGCATGTCCAGTCTTCTTGTATCTGTAGTCAGTGCACCATGGTAGTTGGTATAGTGGGATGCGATACGAAAATAGTAAAGGAAGCCCTTCGAGTGTGAAACATAAAGAGGCCTTGGGTGTTTTATCTCTCTCATACCTTGTCTATGGTTGCGCATGAAGCATATTTCCGCTTCGACTCAGTCGATATCTGCAATTTCTCTAGAGATTTAAGGGGGTAGACACGGGTAATGCAGCGAGATGACATTACCGGCAAAAATGGGCCTATCTAGGAATAATTTATAAACTTTTATGATTGATTCTTAATCTACATACTTGCAGCGACTTTCTAATATAGGTTTTGTAAGAATTCAGTCACTAATTAATTAATTATGAACTCTTATAGGGACGGCGGCTCGAACCTACAAGAATGATTACTAGACCCTAAATAGGTTTCTAGGGTCTGTCGGTAAAGTTTTCAACGCTATAATTTTTATTTCTATAAATCATACAGAAATTAGAATCAATTATATATCACAACTAGCCAGTGTTTCTTATATAACAATCATAAAAGAACTCATTCATAATTTTTAAATATCAAAAATATCAATAATACAGTTGTACCTATTTTACAGATACATATTTCAATTCATTTTATGAATCTTAATCAACCTAATAACTCTATTTTATATATTTAGTTACACAGTACAAAATAATTGTTAAGAACTACATACGCTTTTTATATTTTCGCGCTACGGAGTAGCGTCCGTAGTACATTGCACTTCCTGTCAGGTGGCGATACTATGAAAACGCAGACGCCACCAGTGTTCGTACGCCTCGAGTCCGGTGAATACATTTTCTCGGCTTTCCCGTGTCACGGTGTCGCGAGCGCGTCTGTCGTCGACGCTCGCGGTGTCCGTCGTTTTTTATCTAATCGCTCGAGGAAAATTCGATTCCGCGAGGGTGTTAGTACCGGTCGCGAGTGATCGGCCGAAGTGTGCGTGGCGTGCACGAGATCGAAAGGGTCGTCCAGGTCTTTCGAGGAGCGAAGAAGACGAGCGACGAAGGCAGTCAACGGTGAGAGACGAGTACGGGAAGAGAGAGAGAGAAAAACGGCGTGGAGCGAGAGGCCACAAGCGAGGAGAGACGACCAGAGAGAAAGAGAACAGAACGAAAGAGAGAAGAGGCTAGAAGTGTGTCGGGCCACTATACACCGAGGAAGGAGCAGGGAAATCTTGCTTTTCCTCTTCGTACAGTTGGATCGAAGGGCAGAGGGGTGGGCTACTCGTGGGTGGGGTGCCGAAAAGTGAAGAGACAGTTCGAAAAGGAAGAAGTAGAAGCCGCGAAGGGTGTACGACGGGTCGTGTGTATTTCTTGTGCGAGGGAAGAGTATCTTGTCCATAAAACGAGAGTGCGAGAAAGAGACAGTGCTGTGCCGTGTAAACATACATCCTATTGCCGTAAGTGCGTGCGCGAGTGGCAATCAGCGACGACTTAACATCGTCGTCGACGTCGTCGTTGACCGTAGTCGAGATTGTGCGAGGTATCTCTTTGTGACAACTAACGCGTCGAAGTCCAAGAAAACGTAAGAACAAAAAAAAAAAAGAAAAGGAACACGGAAAAAGGTCCGAGGTTGCGTATTAAATCGTCCGTATATTTGACACGCTTATGAGCCTTGATCACAAATGACAGTCCAT